AGTATTATAATCCCCCAAGTGATTCCAGTGTGCAGTCAGCAGTGAGAACCGCTGCACTGATCCAGTCCACTCCACAGGCTGCTAAGGCAGAGCTCTGCATACCCGCTGCTCAGAAACCCAAGTAGATTTTAAGTGTCACTCTATTGATTTTTTTTTTTTAAGAGAGAGCGAGCATGGAAGGAAAAAGGATAGATGGAAACATCAATGAGAGAGTAACATCAATTGGCTGCTTCCTGCATGCCACCTACTGGGGGACCAAGCCCGCAACTGGGGCATGTGCCTCCACCAGGAATCGAACTGGTGACCTCTTGGTTCATGGTTAGACACTAAACCACTGAACACCACCAGTTGGGCCAAATGTCACTCAATTTAATACTAAAGGTAGAATGCCTAATTCCTACCCTCATCCTAACCCAGTAATTCTGAAAATGTCGGCAGACACTAGAATCTATGAGAAATGCATGCTCCACCCACCTCTACTGAATTAAAAACTTGGGGTGATTCTGGTGCAATCAAAAGTTCGAGAACCATAAAAGAAGTCAGGAGATTTTACTACTTAGCAGTGGGCCATGGATAGAACAGAACAGCAGAATGAGTACTGTGCACCCGCCCTGTCCCCGGGCATGGAAAATGGGTATCTTTCTTAGTTCTGCTTCTTTAATTGCTACAATTTACTGCTCCCCTACATGAACAAATCACCTTTTTGTTTTTCCCTACTGTTTCCTACTGTTACAAACTAGTATTAGAACATTTGATTCTGCCAGGAGCAATAAATAGATTTTTCTTTCTTTATGGTTAGTTCCCAGAAATGAATGCTTTGATAATGAGACGGTTCAGTTTGCCAGGAGATGTGGACAGAGCTCGACAATATGTACTACAGGTAAGATTATTCTAAAAAAAAAAAAAAAAAAGGTATCAGCAGATACAATGTGGGAAAGTTCTTTTAACCAAACAAATAACAATAACATTACATTTTAGAAACATCTGCTATGGGTTACCACCCTTTTGGAGAGTAGTTTGTCAGTACCAGTAAAAATTCAATATGAGAGGGGGCTGTAGCTGACAAAAAAGTCGCTGTGCCGGGAAAGGTTCTGGCTTCAGAAATAACGGTGTTACTGAAGTCTCAGGAGAAGTGGGACTGACGACAAATTAATTGTAGTTCTTATTGTAAAACACTGTACAGCAAGCCTATGCTTCAAAGCACCTAGAAAAAGAATCCACAGAACAAATTCTCCAATTTTAGCTCCCTTTCCACCCAGAGCTCCTAATCACTATTCCCTCATTAAATATGAATGGACAACTAGTATATAGTAGGATTACTAAATAGCTGATTAAAGTTTGCTGAATGAAACAGACTAAGATAAACAAAGAAGAAAAATATAATTAAGGGGATTCAAAAAATAACTGCACTCATAAAACAAGAACAGGGTATTGTCTTTAAACAATGAAAGAGAATGAGCTCTGAGAAATTTTAAATGACTGGAAACTAACTCCTAAGAAAAGCAGGAACATGGAATTGAGAAAATCTCCCAAGATGTAAGACAGCAAGGGAAGAAAATGAGAAAAGCTCCTAAGAGCATCAGCACAATCCTCTAATAAATACTAGCAGGCAGTGAACACGGCTTCCAAATAAATGGTGATGAAACATTTTAAACCTACAATTCTGTATCTAGTCCAGTAATTCTGAATGCAAGTCATTATCACACTTAAGGACTAAACAGTCGGCTTCCAATACCCATTTTCTGGGTAAGTTATTTGTGGGTGTATTTTAGCAAAAGTGTGAAAATCCCAAGAGGAAGACGTGAATACTAAAACCAGTGGAATGAACCCAAGAGTTCAATAAAAAGTCATCCTGCAATGGTAACTGTGCAAGAGCTAATAAATACATACTAGTATATATGTAACAAGTAGAATGATAAAGGAATTAGAAATATTAGGAATTTGAGCTCCTTTCCCGAAAAGGAGGCAATTACATGTAGAAGTGTGTTCTGTAGTACAGTAAGGCACAGCCAATTAAAATGTGTCCGTTTGTGTCAGTTGGTAGAGTATAGAAAATCAGAGGCCTTTCAACACGTGAGGAATATTCTATTCAATGATAGAGGCATCATGAACCTTGGAACCATGGAGAAGGAAATAAAATTGCTGACTTGATCATACAGTACCCATTTTTATATTACAGAAATGAAAGCTTTCGATAATGTAAATGTTCAGCTTTTAGAAAAAAACAAACATACATAGTTACAAAATAGAATGCAAACCTGTATGTAGTGTTAAGGTACAGTTAAAAGTGGAAAGAATGGGCCTGGCTGGTGGTTCACGGATTAAGCGTTGACCTATGAACCAGGTCATGGTTTGATTCCTGGTCAGAGCACATGCCTGAGTTGTGGGCTCCATCCCCAATAGGGGGTGTGCAGGAGGCAGCTGATGAGTGATTCTTTCTCATCACTGATGTTTCTACTCTCCCTCTCCCTTCATCTCTGAAAGAATGGGAGCACTGGTTTCCTCATCTACACATCATCAAGTCAGACAAGATAAAGATGACAAAAGTAATCACCCTAACCGGTTTGGCTCAGTGGATAGAGCATCAGCCTGCTGACTCAAAGGGCCCAGGTTCGAGTCTGGTGAGGGGCATGTACCTTGGTTGCGGGCACATCCCCAGTAGAAGATGTGCAGGAGGCAGCTGGTCGATGTTTCTCTCTCATCGATGTTTCTAACTCGCTAACCCTTCCCTTCCTCTCTGTAAAAAATCAATAAAATATATTCAAAAAAAAAAAAGATGGCAAAAGTAACAACAGAAGAACTAAAGGCAGCAACACAAGTTGGAGGCAAATGTAGTTTTATAGTTGCTTTTATGGAAAATAATACAAACTTTCATGTACTCACTACTGTAAATCTACTTTTGCTCCACCGTGTATAATCAAATTTGGGTCATAGAATGTGTAGGTTAAATCCTCATCTTTCTTAGCAGACAGGCAATAAATAATAACTAATGCTGATAATTAAATTTAAAAAACCAATGGATAAAAAAGCTGGTGCCTTTAGAAGAAGAGAACTCAGCTCTTGTGTACATTTTCATCATTGGCTCTTATGTATTTTTATTATGTACATGTTTTTTTAAACTTCCACTTAAGATTTTTTCATTTAAAAATTTATTGTATAGATATTTTATAACAACTTTTTAAAAACTTCTAGTACTTAAAAATAGATGGCTAAGAGGCTGGTAGGAAGGGGATGGGAATGGGAGATATCTGTAGTACTATCAACAATAAAAATATATTTAAAAATGAAAAAAAATAGATGGCTACTTGATATTAATGAGTTAGTTACTTTGTACACTAATAGAGTAAAAATTTACTTTAATCAGAGAAAAGGGCCTAAAAAAACTAGGCAGGGGAAGCTGGAACTGTAAGTTCAAGAAAGAATGTTAGAAACATAGTTTGGCTATTAACTAATCTCAAAATAGTTTTTAATTCATTATAATGAACTTAAGAGTCAATCCAGTAGGTAACACACATCTGTTTCTTTCTGTATTTCATAGAGTGATGGTGTGCAGCAGACAACCTACCTCGCCCAGCGGTACTGCCATGAAGCAGTAAGAGAGATCAGTAAACTTCGACCATCCCCAGAAAGAGATGCCCTCATACAACTCTCGGAAACTGTACTCACAAGAGATAAATGACAAAGTCTTTCTGTTATTCCTGGCAGCTATTTTACCAGACTGTGCCTAAAGAATTTTGTGGAATATACTCTGCTTTATGTGCACATAACCAAAAATCATTTTAAAAAATCATTTCCACCTTAATGATGGGCAATTATTTTATTAGCAAAGTTTTTCAGAAAAGTTTTAAAATAATTAAATCATCTGAAACTGTTATTTTAGCCCTGTAAATTCTAATCGAGGCATCTTGATGGTTATATGTGGTATTGTTTACACTGTTAATAGTCACATGTAAAGCCATTAAACAAATAAATAATCAATGTTAAAATTAAAATGGTTTATCTTGTTTCACCATAGGAGTAAATGTCAGAGAACTGTGAGGTCTACATTTCAATCAGCATTGATTTTAACAGCATCCAAAATTTCATATAAGAGAATGGTTTATTATAAAAGACTGCACATAAAATTTAGATGAGTTATATACAAAATTAAGACAACATTCCACTTGGAAAAAATGAAATGTAAAATGTAGTAGCTTATCACTAGTGATACTGAAATCATGTTTAAAATTATCAAGGCAAAATGCATATGCAACAGTCACATTGATTTGGTAGCAATGGTCTTTAACTCTCAGAAATAAATGTTTTGCACTAGTCTTACCATTTACTATGCTATTATAGTCTGTAATGCCCAGTACATAAACTGCAATTTGAAATCCAGAGAATTCCTCAATACACAGAAACCCACATTTGAGCGCTCTATTTTAATATCCTAGGCAATACAGAATTGTACACAAGATAAAACATCCTTCTAAACCTCCCTTAAATTAAGAGGAGACACACAAAGTGCATGTGTTGCATTTCAATTATGTCAAAAAGACAAAACAAATCTATTGGTCAGGTATGTCCCTGTTCACTGATTAATATATGACCCAGTTTTTCCCTAATTAACTTAAAAATCTTTTTATGTTGCTAGTACCAGTTAATGAATTAAATGGTGCCTATTCAAAAATCAATTGCATCCACTTCTACAAAACAGTATGTAAAAGATACTTATAATTTCCTTTCATTGAACAACAGTCCACTGGAAAACTGGAGCACTAATAACAGCAATCCTTAAGAATTTTACCCACAGAAGTGAATCATTTTACACATTTTCTTAGCTCTGAAAAAAAAATTACTTTAGAAAAGCAACTAAGTAAATTGACTTGTAAATAACTTTCAGATTTTAAATCTTCAAAAATCAGTCACATTTGATTTTGGGACAGGTTGAGATAAGGCTGAAGTTCATATGCTGAGAAAATAGAACAATAATTCTGCAATAAATCAGTATCTTTTATTTATTTTTTTAAAAACAAATCAGTGAAGGAAAGGACAAAAACCTTTGGTTCACTTAAGTATTTGTGAGTGGAAAAAATTTATAATGCAAATTCACTCATTAAAAAACTTAGTTACAAATTACAACATTATAGATAACCCTTTTTTGTTTGTTTTATTTCACATGGAAACCTTAGAGACCCGATTCATTTCAAGAGACCTAAGTACGAGTACTCCAAGAAAATATCACACAAATTGGAAGCATCCTGGATTTTTAAGAAGTATATTTCAATAATTAATTTGTATGCATGCTTTAAACAAATAGTTATAGTTCAAGAATGAGAGAGTCTAAACAAAAGGTATGACCAGCACCAGCATTTAAGTTTCTGATTTTAATATTAGTCTGACATAGCATTAGTAACCATGCTGCACTGAAACATTAATGGTACAGTCTGAATCATGATTTGTTAAATATTATACCCCAGATCCCCAGAATATTTAAGCTGGTCATAAAGTTAACATTGTGTAAGTAAGTATATAAGCATAAACAGTTATGGACAGCTCTTGTATAAATTGCTGTTGAGCAATAAACAAACTGCCTCAAAGATTTATGCTTACAAGGTAGACGTTCAATTATACCAATAAAACAGCATGTCCTGAAAATATGGGCACATTTTAAGACAATTTTGTTAACCATTAATAGTCCCACAGTATGACTGAATAATAATAAGAACCTACTTTAAAAGCAAAAAGTTTTAATCAGTATAGTGCATGATTGATTCAACATAGTTCCCAGGGAACAAACCAGTCACTCGATTGCAGACTCCTTCATACCAGCCATCATCATTCTTCTTTATTACATAAATGATTGCACCCTCCATAAATGACAGCTCATCATCCTTGTCTTTTGTATAATCATATATTGCCACAACTATGGAAAAAAGAGTTGAAATAACAAGTGAGTGCACTATATCCAACATAATGTGAATTTTAAAATGTAATGCCAATTAAATCTATAGTATAGCAAAACCAACTATTTTTATGAATATTCGTAACTCTTACATCTATAAATATAGATAGACCAGTGGCTAACCATGTACCTAAATTAATAACTTGATCTTGGGGCCAAACTGACTAATTGATTAGACTAGAGAAAACAATAGTTTCTACCAATCTATTTAGGGAAGATCTCTGAATTTTAAGGGTTGATTAGCCATTTCAATTCATTTGTTCAAATATCTACTAAGTGCCAACAGTATGCAAAACAATTTTTCAAAAGAACAACTGGGCAGCAAAGCTGCATAACCAATCAGTAAACCAGCTATCTAATTTGAAAATATACATACCTGGAGATAAATCTCATCCAAGGAAAATATTCATGTAACTTATGGGGCTATATTTAGAATATTTTTACAGAGCACTTTAAAGATCAACAGGATTTTTTAAGGGGAAATAACTGAGTAAAGATGCATTAATTAAGACTGAGAGAATTATTTGCAATTCTGTAGTATCAGTGATTATTTTGAGTTCAAAATATTCACTTTGCACAGTGTCATAGAATAAAAAGGCATAAAAATTATTATAGTTTTCTAAACTACTGGTTGATAAGTTTAATTATTCCTTCATTCTGCCTTCATAGCATAATGATGCTCAAATTATATGTACTTTTCTACTAAATGTGAAATGGTATGCGATATGGATTTTTTTCATTCATTTGCCTCGTGTAGTTTTTCTTAAAATACAGAGTTCTTAAGACGTTTAAGATGTTCTGGAACTTACTTTTCCACCAAAAAAGATGGTTAGTCTCCACAATTATTCTGAATTAGGGAATTATAAGAGACTTGAAGTACTAATCGATATTATTTGCTAAATTAAAACAGGCAATCTTTTCTCCTCTTTCCGAAACACTGTATTAAGTAAACTCAACAATTCCATTTTAATCCTGTAGCAGAATCATAGTATTGTGATTACAAGCTCACTGACATATAAAGTTGTCTTTAAAAACCCCCAAACATAAAGAATAAATAATATTAAATTATTATCCTGGTATTATTTTTATCTAAGAAGCCACCCAAAAGAATTGAGTGACTGTTACAGTAAAGAAAATAATGTAATAATTTAAAAGTAAACTATTAGTCAATTAATATTTATTAGTTATGGTTTACCTTTGATAACATTCATTTCTTTGTATTCAGATTGATAATGAATGAAATTTTGAATGCTATAGACTTTTAAACTAATCATGACAAAGGCCCGTCATTCTCAAAGTCATTTGGCAAAATAAAAATGTTTCCTCTCACCCAGCCTTAGTGGTTGAGCATCAACCCATGAACCTGGAGATCACAGTTCGATTTCTGGTCAGGACACTTGGCCAGGTTGGGGCTTGATGCCCAGTGTGGGGCATAGAGGAAGCAGCCGATCAATGATTCTCTCTCATCACTGAAGTTTTTTTTTCTCTCTCTCCCTCTCTCTCTTCCTCTTTGAAATCAATAAAAATATATTTTTTTTAAAAAATTGCAATGTCTATGGCTGTTTTGTGCTATAACAGTGGCTAACAAAGATTTAAATATTTCATTTTGCAATATATACAAATAATGAATCACTACACTGTATACCTGAAACTAATATGTTATGTCAATTTAACCTCAATTTTTTTAAAAAGTTAAAAATATTGCCCTAGATAAGTAAGGACCTATACTTGCTACCTCTCACAACCACATCCAAATTATAAAGACTGAACAACTATCATCCAGAACCGCGGGAAAGCTGGCTGAGTGGAAGTTCTACAACTAGAGAGGTAAGAAGAAAGTGCATTGAGACTGGTAGGCGGTGCAGAGGCGCAGAACGGGCTGGCATCCAGGTGTGCTGCTTTTTTAATTGGAAGGGAGATACAAGCTCTTGCTTGTTCTGAACTCCAGTTCCAGGCAAGACTCTGGGAGACCCAGACACATATGGGGAGAAACTGGACTATGTGGAATCAGGACAGGAACACGAGGGCGGCTTTCTTTCAAATGGAGGTACTAGCAGCAGCCACTGTTCCTACCCTGGGACCTCTCTGGTGTAGGGCTGACTGGCAGCCATTGCTGTTTGCTCTGCCATGGTGATTCCCTGAGAACCCGCCCCACCCAATTTACAACCCCAACAAAGCTGTGCCCAGCGGCTTTTGCATACGAATGGCCTGTCCTTTCTCAACCTAAAACCTGTCAAACAAGCTGCTGCTGTGTCAGGGAGCTGCAAAGCTATCAATAAAAGGCCCAAGGTTGGCACCAGCACCAGCTTGCCTTGCTCCACAGCTGTGCCT